TGCTGCGCCAATGCTGTCGAAACTGCAGTCGCTCACCGTGTCCGGGCTGGACGCCAACAACATGGAGGCATTGATCGCGGGCTTGTCGTCGGTCCCAGCGCTGACGTCTCTTGATCTTTCCCATTGCAACCTCTTGTTGTCGACGGAGCTGCTCATGAAGACGCTTGCGACGACGTGCGTGCATCTCGAGACGCTCCGTGTCTTGGATCGTAATTTTACGCACGATGGGTCTGCGGCCGTGCTGTCGGGCGTGCTGCGATTGCCTCACTTGACGACGCTTACCCTGAAGATGCGTCAGCTGGATGAGTCGCACGTGCTTCCAGAGCTCGTTGCTGCGGGCCGCCACCTTCGGTACCTCACTTCGATGGACATCGAGCGCGACAACATGGATGAGAAGAAGCGCGCGATTTACCAAGCGCTGGCACTGACCCGCGACGTCCCATTTGTGCTCCAGACGTTGCCAGAAGACATGGACAAGTTCGTGGTCGACGCGCTCAGCCCACGCGCCGATCGTCGCCACCAGTGCGACTAGGACTTCGCATAGCAACATGTAGGCTCATAGCGACCGTTGTGAATAATAACCAACTTTGTGGTTCCGACACAAATCCCAATGGGAAAATTTGAGAAAGGGACAACACCTTTGGGGCTGGAGCCTCGTATCTGCTGCTCATTGCCCTTGAAGCGAAATGTCGACGCGAGGTCCTGTACCCTCGTTTCCAGTCCTTGTGGTGGAGTCTCAAAACCATGACATGGCACTCGTCACCACACATCCGATTGCACTCCGTCGACTAGGATATGCCACCACCAGCAATCTGTAATTTTCTAGTTGTGCACGCTATCACAACGGTTCGCAACTCGACCACGTACGGTTATCGCACACTCACCTTTTGGAACCATCGAGACGCCTTGTCGTGGTGCCACGTATAGTGTGCAAAATGTGCCCAAAGTGGAAAAAGTGTCAGTGTTTCAAGTTTCAAAACGCACTGAAGCATCGATTGCTATGCGGACCCAGGGCGTCTCACACAAAGTCATCGACATCGTCTGGCAGCTCCTCGACAAATAGCAACGCGTCAATCGAGGGCCTCGCAACCGCTGTTGGTCACACGACGGAGCTCAAGAGTTGATGCCCATGGAGTTGAACGGGCCATGGCTGGCGCATGTCATGTGTGCCAACAATTCGCTTCAATTCCTCTGGTGCACGATTCAATGGGGTGAGTCAAGAGTGCACCTCCAGAGGCTCGTCAGCCGACACGAAGATGACACACCTTTGTCGCTTTTCGGCTTGGGTGGTTTTGTCCAGCCCTCTTCATTGGCTGTTTTCCACCGGAGGCTAGGGTCTTCCCTCGCTCGAAGGTTTTCCCAGTCCTCACTCGTATACGTAGTTTGTATGTCCCATAATGCCCTCAATACATTACAGGCCATTGGCTGTGGCGACTTCACCGTCGCTCACTTCCGTTTGGTTTCCGTTCTGGCTCGCTTCCCGCTTGCCCGTTTGCCTCCTCCTCTTCTTTTTTGCTTCGTTCCTCTGCCTTGTGCCTCGCTGCATAAGTGTCAGCTTGACAGGGCGCGAAAGAGAATACAACTCGGTACATACCGGTACTGTACTATGTTCGTATTGACAGCTCCAGGGGTCGCATTCTTTGAAAATCCAATTAAAACGAGCAACTTTTGAGGAAAAGTCGAAATAGGACCACGAGGGGTTCCGTTGGCATGTGGTCCTGTGGTGCATTTGGTAATGCAGGCTGCAGAAAGACCGAAGCCACTGAAATCGCTGTAGCCAAACGCACCACAGAATATGCCACCAGGGTCTCACATCCGGATACGGAATTGAAAAGCAAGCTTTTGACACGCCAGCGACACCATGGCCGGCAACAACGAACGCCCGACCAAGGCCACCACACGCGCTCACCCTGCATGCTGTGTTTGTTTTGCAACAGTGCAATCCGCGCGCCAAGCCCATTGCTCAAGCTTCGGCGGCGCGACAGCGTCCAGCTGCGAGAGTCCAGCTACTGCGATCAAAGACGCCAAAGAGCCAAAGCGGAAGATCGCTGGTCAAGGTCGGTGCGGCTGCTCTTTCTGTCGAGCGTACAACAGCTCGCGCCGGAGCGATCAAATTACAGACCGGCGTCACGATAGAATAGCTTTTTGATGGGCCTGCCAATCCAAGTAGCGATACTGCTGGATACTGTACGTACGTTGAGCCAAACGAAGATATCTTTGTTGCCATCCGTAGCAATTAGAAATCCAAGTCGCACTTGTGGCAACGATCGGCGCGTGGGCTGAGCGCGTCGACCACGAACTTGTCCATGTCTTTTGGCAGCGTGTCGACCACAAATGGGACGTCGTGGGTCAGTGCCAGCGCTAGGTAGATCGCGCGTTTTTCCATTTTGTAGTTGTCGCGCCCGATGGCCATCAAGGAGAGGCGGCGAAGATGGCGGCCCGCAGCAATGAGCTCTGGAAGCACATGCAACGCACACCGCGGAGGCATCCAGAGGCTCAGCGTCGTCAAGTGTGGCAATTGCAGCACGCCAGACAGAACAGCGATAGCCCCATCGCGAGTCAGATCCTTATCGCCGACAGACAGCGACTCGAGATGCACACACGTCGTCGCAAGCGTCCTCATGAACAGCTCCATCGAGGTCGAGAGGCTGCAATGGCGAGCCGTCAGAGACGTCAGCGCCGGGACCGACGACAAGCCCGCGATCATTGCCGGCATGTGGTCAGCGTGCGACCAGGAGACGCTGAGGCACTGGAGTTGCGATAGCATTGACGCCGAGGCCGGGCATGTCGCCAGCTGGCCAAAGACGCTGCACTCGAGACGCTCGAGCTGCGTGCGGCCGACGGCGGTCGCAAGGTCCGTCATCGTTGCATCGTCGACAGCGCCATTTAGGCGCACATTCCAAGTCAAGGTCTTCAACGACACTGGGAGCGTGCGGCCATGGAAGCCACCCAGGCTGCGGACGTGGCTGATGGCCAGCTCTTGGAGGGTAGTGTTGGCTTGCAGCGCCTTGCAGAACGCAATGACCCCATCGTGGTCCATCTGCGCGACATTGGCCAATCGGAGCTTCGTCGCTGGCGCCGTCGAGAGCCAAGAAGCCAAGAGATGGCCGAGTCGCGGTACAGTGGTCGCGCGCTGCAGGTTGAAAAGGCTGAGAGACGACTCGTGGACATGCGGGTGGGCGACGACTGTAAGCAGATCGTTGACCTCGACGGCCTCGTTCTCCGTATATGGATCGACCGCGATAGCCACGTGGCGCAGACGTGGGCAGCGCTGCAAGAATAGACTGCTGATCATTCGGCCTCCACCACGGACCATGCAGCCGCGGTGGAACTGGAGCGTGACAATGTTGAGCGCAGGGCCGACGACGGCGACGAGCGAAGCCAGTGACGCCGCGTCCCGGACCGCAAACTGAAGTTCGATGCGTGGACGCAGCGGCAGCGTCGCCGCGAGCAGCGCCAAGAGCAAAGGCGGCAAGTCCATGGTACGCAGCTCAATGCGCGGCCAGTTGGCGATGACCGAAGGCGACGTTGTCGAGCTGCAGTCGAGAAAGGCCGTGAGCGCCGGCGTCCAGAGCGAGCGCGGTACCGCATGCAGAAAGCTCGTAAAGTCCTCTTGGTTGCTCAAGCACGTGGCAATCGTCTCGATGACGTGCGGAAGCGCGAGCGCGTCCGGCGACGCCATGCGCGTGGACTTCTGCTTGTGACCGTCGTTCGTCATTTTGGATTGTGCTTGGAATCCACGAAGTGGGTATTAAAACGCGCGATCGGATTGGTAGAAATAGAAATTCAGTACCCAATCAGTGGTACCCAATCGCCAATCTGATGCAGCGCTGGCGAGAAAAATGGGGCAGGGATGTACCATGCGGACGCTCCCTGCGAATGTATGCCTGCTCGTCGCGGTGATAACCCCGATGGAAAACGGTAGACGAAAAGCTATGGTCACCAACTCCATTTCAAGCACGGACGGAGGCGAGGATACCTGAAACCTGTGGCGAAGAATGCGGGTGGTAATGTAGACCGAGCAACTTTTCAAGAAAAATCCCAGCAAGTCGAAATCGGACCGGGAGGGGTCCAGCGCCAGCAACCCAGTCCTAGACCTTGTCAAGGACCCTAGGTCCTGGACGACGTGGGTCTCGAGGTGGCTACGACATGCAAGAGCGACTAGAGTCCTTGCTCATGGCGCATGTCCATGGCGTGTGCCTGCATTTGCTACTTGATGGACTGTTTGCGGCAACCGAGTTCGGCCAATCCGATGGCGTAACCAGATATGGAACGTCAAAGTCAGCTGCAAAATGGCACACGCCGATATGACCGACAGCAGACGCCAGACCAAGGTGGGTCGTCCGACGCCAGGAGATGCGCTCGCGCTTCAGCATGTGGTCGAGGCGATAGCTACAGGCTTGGACAACCAGGACGACGTTGAGAGCTTCCTCCATGCAGTACCACGCTCGCTCTGGACGCCGGCGCTCACGGCCTTTCTCGACTGCAGCACGGCCATGCCATCAACGGTCAGCGCCAACTGGCCGCACATCGAGCTGCTTAGCGCGGCATTGCCGCCCTCGGTCTTGACGCTGCTCGCGGCGACGCTGCCGCTGCGTCCATGCATCAAACTCGAGTGCTTCGCGGACGCCAGCCCACTGGCCTCGCTCGTTGCCGTCCTCGGCCCTGCGCTCAGCTGCGTCCATCTATGTTTGAGCAGCGGCTGCACGGTCCGTGGTGGAGGCCAAGCGATCAGCGACCTCCTCTTGCAGCGCTGCCCGCGTCTGCGCCACGTGGCTATCTCGGTCGATTCTTGTTCGCAGAACGAGGCCGTCGAGCTCAACGATCTGCTCGCAGTCGTCGCCCACCCGCATGTCGAGGAATTGCAAATCGACCTCGAGAACACGACCGCGCCGCCACGACTCGGGCATCTCTTGGCTTCATGGCTCTCGACGGCACCGGCGACGAAGCTCCGATTGGCCCATGCCGCCGGAAGGGACCATGATGCTGTCATTGCGTTCAGCGATGCGCTCCAAGCCAGCACGACGCTGCGAGAGCTCACCATGCACAACACACCAGCCCTCGGTGGCTTCCACGGTCGCACGCTCCCAGTGTCCCTGAAGCGCTTCGAGTGGTGTATTAGTTGCCCCAACTGCGTCGTCGACGAGACAGCGCTGACGGACCTTGCGACCGCCGTCGGGCTCACGCAGCTCGAGCATCTCGAGTGCAGCTTCTTTGGCCTGCTGACGACATACGCGGCGGCGGCGCCGATGTTGTCGCAACTGCAGTCCCTTGTCGTCTCCGGGTTGAACGCTGACCACATGCCGGCATTGATCGCGGACTTGTCGTCAGTCCCGGCGCTGACATCTCTTGAGCTTCGCGATTGCAACCTTTCGTCGTCGACGGAGCTCATGGAGACGCTTGCGACGACGTGCGTGCATCTCGAGACGCTCCGTGTCGATGATCGTGACTCGCGATGGGTCGGTGGCCGTAATTTCTGGCGTCTTGCAATGGCCACACTTGACGACGCTGAGCCTGATGATGCGTCTGCTGAATGTGTTGCGCGTGCTTCCAGAGCTCGTAGCTGCGGGCCGCCACCTCCACTACCTCGATCTGGCGACCATCGGGCGCGACAGCGATGATCTGGAGAAGCGAGCGATCTGCGAGGCGCTGGCGCAAGTCCATGACGTCCCATTTGTGCTCCAGACGTTGCCAGAAGGCGTGGACGAGTTCGTGGTCGACGCGCTCAGCCCACGCACCGATCGTCGCCACGAGTGCGCCTTGCATTTCTAATCGCTTCAAATAGCCACATTGATTTTTTTCTCGTTTGGTTCAAGGTAGCGATTGTGATACCGGTAATACGCCGCCTGACAAGTGAAAATTGAGAAAGGGACAACTGCTACAGGTTTTGAGCCACGTACTGCCGGTGGAAGGTACTTGATGCGCATGTTCCATTTTCTAAACTCAAATACAATTGCATTTTGAATCGCAATTCAGACGATATATTTGAACCGCTCGATCTTGCAGGCGGTACCGCTCGTTCAAAATGTTCTGTTTGTCCTTCAGAAGAGTCCGACCGAGGACGATACGATCGTGGTCTCGTGGTCGATGGCTCGGTTCGCGTCGCCGCCCGTGCCACGTGGTTCGCGAAACAACGAACAGCAGTAGCAACGAATCTTTCACCTCAGTTCGACATGACGACCCAACGTCGATAGAGGGCGCTACCATTGGCTTTTGCGATGCGCTATCAGCCAGTACGACGCTTTGCGAGCTCAGTCTTGTTATCACCAACGTACCTGGCCTGGGATGTCGACAATGCGACGTTTGCGCACGTTGGATTGGTCATTGGGTACCGACTTTCTGCCAATCGGATCGCGCATCCGGATACGAGAGTTTGACGCTGATCAAGATGGCCGACAACCAGCGCAAGCAGACGGGGGATGGTCCATCGGACGCGCTCGCCCTTCCGCACGTCGTCGAGACGATTGCGATGTGCTCGGACAACCAGAAGGACTTTAGAAGCTTCCTCCACGCGGTGCCACGGTCGCTCTGGACGCCGGCGCTCACGGCCTTTCTCGACTGCGCCACGGCCATGCCATATTCGATCATCGCCAACTGGCCGCACATCAAGCTGCGTAGCATGGACTTGCCGCCTTCAGTCTTGGCGCTGCTCGCGGCGACGCTGCCGCTGCGTCCACGCATCGAACTCGAATATGGCGTCCGGGACGTATTGCCACTGGCCCCGGTCGTTGCCGTCCTCGGACCTGCGCTCAGCAGCATCATTCTCTCTTTCTCCCGCGGCTGCATGGACCAAGGCCGAGGGCAAGCGATCAGCAGTCTCCTCTTGCAGCGCTGCCCACGTCTGCGCCGCGTGTCTATCGATGTCGAAACTTTTATCGAGAACGATGCCGTCGAGGTCAACGGCCTGCTTCCAGTCGTGGTCCACCCGCATGTCCACGACTTGTCTATCGACCTCGAGCACGCGACCGCGACACCACGACTCGGGCATCACTTGGCCGCATGGCTCTCGACGGCACCGGCGACGAAGCTCACATTGGCTCATATCGACGAGATGGACCACGATGGGGCCATTGCGTTCTGCGATGCGCTCCAAGCTAGCACGACCCTCCAAGAGCTCAGCATCAAAAAGGTCAGCAACCTCAGTGGCTTCCATGGCCGCACACTCCCAGTGTCGTTGAAGACCTTGGAGTGGAATGCTCGACCCCAATCCTACTACGTCGTCGACGCCGCAACGCTGACGGACCTTGCGACCGCCGTCGGGCCCACGCAGCTCGAGCGTCTCAGTTGCAGCGTCTTTGGCCAGTTGGCGACATGCCCGGCGGCGGCGCCGATGCTATCGCAACTGCAGTCGCTCAT